GATTACGAACAAGTTGTGAGACAGATGGGCTATTGACCAGAGCTTATGAATGTCAGTTAACCATGATGTGCATAAATGAACAGGATAAGTTTAGAAAGTATTCTTGTTTCTTTCATTTCCCCTTCTAAGAAGTTTCATTTATTGCAGCAATTATTGTGAAATACAAACAAGAAATAGTGAAATACAAATAACTACAGCACCACAAACTGGAGATTATGACAACAAATCAACAATAGAGCTTTTCCGTGCATTTTTCTCTTTTATGACAGCCATGAATAACAATGAATCAATCTGTTTACTGCATTCCAAACTAGTATGTCCATTCTTTAGGCAGAAATATCTCTGGCGAAGCATTCTCATTCTGCTGTGGCTCAACTATAGTCGAATAATTATGCCTCGCAGCAGCAGCAGTATTGTTGATGCGTCCAGGTTTGGAGTTACTTTTGGCATCTGCAGGTACACACAACAAGTCAATAACAACAACGAATTCCTGATCTGATGTGGATAATGTGATACTATGCACAGAGGAGAAGAAAGTGACCTAGTTGATGGCGGCGGGTGACTTGCAGGGCAATGTCATTGACATTGAGGTTTAGGGCTTGAACTACTCGTGCTGGGAGGAGAACAGGTGAGCAAGCTGCAGAGGACGATGGATGGGAGCAACCAAAATCGTATCATAGGTTCATGTACATAAGCTCAGAATAAACAAATTACTAGTCAGAGGTTGCAAACCCAATCCATTAAACCCATTGAACAAAAAATGATTTTAACCAAAATCCATTGGGTTGGGTTGATGGATTTCTACATTTTGATAGCTAACCTTTTTATGCATTACTGTTTGGTATTCCATTTAGTCCGAATTACAAACTGGTCAATAAAATACATGCAAGTGGGGGGTGGGTCATTTTTTGAACCCGTGACTCATAACAACAACTAGAAATATGGAATTCCTCGTATCAATCCATTGGGCCTGTTTGTAAAATTTTAAAAGTTTAGGTACTATAATATAAGAGTATAATTGTAACTGTGCTAAATGTAACTTTACCATCAACATTTGTGGATGTATAATGCAAGATAAAAATATAAATGCGCTCAATGTAATTTCATCATCAACATTTATGGACTTATTTGTATAAAAGCAATATAATAGGTACTAAATTGTTAGAAAATTTTCTGGGTACCCAAATAGAATTTTCTGAAAATCAGTGTATTGATTTGAGCAGATCGATTGACTCGGCCTGCCCAATCCCAAAGGGTCATATAGGGTCAAAAAGAAAACAGAGGTAAGGCGTGTGTGTCAGTTACATTAGTTTACCCTTAGGAAGCGAGTTAGACAGGCAAGGTAAGTAGTTGATTACCTGATGAGTGGGTGGTGGGTGGGCAGTCCGGGTCACCGACGTTTCGTGGGAGGAAGACGCCGGTGCCGGTGCACGGCTTGTGGCTGGAGTCGAGGAAAATGGCTCGCATCCCTTCAGAACCCGCCCAGCTGGGGTGTCTTGGCCTGTGCCCAGATTTTGGCCGCAACTGCAACTGCAACTGCAACTGCAACTGCAACTGCATGCATTCCCCACTTCCATACGTTATTCCATGATTGAATAATGCATGCTTGGCAAACTGTAAATTGATTAGAGAGCATAGCATGCGTACGTTTTTTAAAGGATTTTCAGAGTGCAGATAAAGAAAAAAACCCAGTACCTAACTAGAAACCCTCTCTTTTAAGCCCAAATAGTAGCTAGTTATGGATATGAAGCAAAGCAATCAGGTTGAAGTGCTTGTTGCACAGGGCAGGGCAGGAGAATCAATGATTAAGCAACGCAACTATTTCGTCATCTGGCGACTTTTTTATCATTCAAGTACAGTAAATATAGGGAGTTGCAGTTTATTTAGGTTTGTTGTCTGGTAACAAATGTTATACCCGTGATCAGTTTGCATTCCTTACCTAATTAAATCATCCCATAAATTAGTGTTAATTATTATGATTATGTTATGAAGGAGTTAATTAATTATTAGTATCTCCAAAGCACGTGCAAATATGTACAATTAGAATATGCATGCACGCCCCAGGACCAGCTCCCGCTCCAGCTCGCTCGCTATTTATGTTTATTGTTGGTGAACATTGTATTGTGTATTGTAATGAATGAAACATTACTTTTCAAATGGATTGGTTGGTTTGGGTTAGGAACTGATGATAATTACCCAATCCAACCCGACCCGACCCAAACCCAACCCAACCCAACCCATGCAATAGCTAGTGGCCCCCACCACCCCATCCCAAACAATTCTTCTTTCGTTGTTTCTTTGTGCATCTATCAAGCAAGATTCAAGCAAGCAATAGCAATAGCAATGCCCACACGCGCGCGCCCACCTTTCATTAATATCAGTAGTTCAGTACTCGTGGTTTTTCTTGTTTTGGGTAGAATGATAGGTTTCTTTTTGGTTATGGTTAAATGGGTTTCTTTTTTCCATTCTCACATGTGTTGTGGGTGCACAACAATCCACGACTCTCCTCCATGCTCTAGTGATGCTTGGAATCTTCATTAACCTCTCTAATGGGTACTTTTTATATTATACATAAGTCTGGCTATGCTCTTAAGAAATGTTGCTTATGATCACTAGGTAGCTAGGTAGACTTTACTACTTGCTAGTTCAAGATTAGTTACCACTATTCACTTGCTAGCTAGCACCTGGAGGAGGACGTACGTACCAGTGGATTCATATTACTATTATATTGCTGCTGCGGCTGATTCCTGCTGCTGCCGCAGCTTCGCTTCTTCTGCTCTGCTTGCTTCCCGACTCTCTGATCATCGATCGGTTGCCCCAATAAGCATATATGATTAACAATACATAACGAGCAGAAACTAGAGATTAAAAACAAAACCAAATATTTATAATTAATAACCTTGGATTGACAGGAGACGTCCTCCCAGCAGCCCACCGCGGGGCGCTGAAGAACTAAATGATGACGATCAGAAGGAAGGCAGGATATGGATGATGGATTCCCTTGTACTACTTTAGCGTCCTCTCTTCCGGCCGCCGCCGCCGCCATATATATATCTATGATGGTCAGCCGACCGACCCAAAATAATATATGTACTACAGTAAGCTAACAAAAAAAAAAAAAAAAAACAGAAGAAGATTTATATTGTAAGAAAGCAGCAGTTGGCGTGCTCTTGATTGGTAGGTTGAGGAAGAGGAAGGAGGAGGCGGTTGATGAGAGGCAACTGCTGAAGCTTACAAGGAAAAAGGAGAAGGGGAAGAAAGTATCGGAGATGGGATTTATATATATTTTGAGGGGGAGGGGAGGGGAGGGTGAGGGATGCCCCAACTTCAAACCTGCAACTTAACTAATCTCATGTCTCATCACCATCTAATCTAATCTATGACCACGACTATATATATAACACTTGGCTTTTCCCGTTCTCATTATTTACCTACGTGGGTTTTTCTGGGTTGCACTAATTATATATAGATACGAAATTTATAAAACCTTGGCAAGTCAGATCACTAAACAAAAGGGTAAAAAAAAAGTTGGTCGACTACTAATCGATACAACGATGAAGACTTGTTTTGACACGATATGAGCAGCCATGTTAAACACACGATTAAAAATCTAATAATCTTTCCTCTCATGTCGTCTATTCATTCTTTTAACCTTTAGACTTAATTTTTGTAATTGTTTTAAACATATAATCATAACTCCATCCATACATAATTTTCGATTACTTTAAACTAATAATTAAAATCCAATACTCCATAGTAATTTGTCCCGTACCAGCAGAGGCTGTAAAAATCCCTATAATTTACTAATTTAGAGACCGTATGCGAGAGGGTCGCTCAACACACCCAGGACCGGCTCTGATTTTTATAATTATTATCACATCATAGACAACACACATTTAGCATAAATTTTCAAATAAAAAGAACAACCATCATCATCATCATCATTTTTTAGGTTTAATAGTAAGAGAGGACACTGATACAAATAAACTAAAGGGCTTGCTTTGCATGGAGCAGCTGACTTAACTAGCTTGCGTATGCCCTATGGATTGGTGGCAGGCATTCTACAAAAATTTCTTAACCACCACTAACTAACCTGATGAGGAAATTACAGCCAGCCTTCTTGGTGGAGCAGATTCAATTCAATGCACACATGGCTAACTCTACAGACTACAGCCGCGCGGTGGATGGCCCATTTTTGCTTTGCTGCTCACGCTGGAGGGAGAATTTTTTTTTTAAGAAGAAAATAAAAAAAAAATCATATCTAAGCAAAATAAAATAAACACCTGAATATCAGAAATCAAAATGTGTGTTGATATATATAGGTGAACGAACTACTAGCTATAGCTAGTTCAGCCACGTGCTCTTAGTTTTACCAAAGGAATAGAATGTCACCATGGGGACCTTTCCAGATTCAACGTAACTGATTTCCTTTCCTGGCCTTCATCACCATTTTCACTTCTCATCCACCTACCCAGCCAGCTATTTGCATATTCAAAATGTTCGATCGTAAAAAAACGTATTGAAAGTTGCACCGAAAGAGTTAGCAATAGGGTATTTTGTATCAAAATTACAGTTCAATTATTTTATATCATTAAAAACTGCCTATCAATAGAGACATAGATTATTTTTATAGTCGAATTGGCAATACAATATGATTTCAGAAACACGGATATAATATCATCACACCGAGAATACAATATGATTTCACAAACACTGATATTATATCACCGCACCGAGAAAACGAAAGAATAACATTACAAACTTGTATCATTTTGATCATTTGTGTAATCTAATCGGTTTACCAAGCTAGTATATGATATGCCATCGTCTGTCTCATTTATAACATTTGAGCTGTTCATAATCATTATTTATGTGAATATTTTTTTTTTTTTTTGCTGCTCCATTTTATGATATCGACCTTTACTTATTCTTAGTACTTCAAGCCAACTAAACCAGTAAGAGAAGTCCATTGAAAATTACTTTATAACAAGTTCAATCAATTTGTTATTAGTTATTTACCATTTCACCAAATAAAATTCCATCAACAAAGTCATCATCCAAGTAGCAAGTTAGTCAACAACCTGAAAACAAAACATAGATAGATATTCTGTGACTCGCTCCACTGTTCATATCGATTGAGTTCCAACTGCAATGCTAACTTCTTCTACCAATGTGGTTTGGTTGGGTGGTTTTGAGATTTCTGATAATTCCACAACCATCACACCCAACCTCTGTGCTGTGGGGAATCCAAAAATGGATAATAGTGAATTGGATCCACTGGCCCCTGCCAACTAGTGGAATGAAGCAATATGTAGTTCAGTTTCTAACCATAACAAACAAAGCTCAACCACTCCCACAGTAGTGACTGCTGCTGGTAGGTCAACTAAGCTACAACGTGACAATTCTCTTCACTTACAGGCAGATCGCGAGTCTTCCCAATGAGCTCGCGCGTTCCTTCATCCAGCTCCACCTTGTCTTTCTTCATCCGCTCCACAACTACAAGCGGCATCTTACCAGCACGCGCGTAAGTCCTCAAAAGGGAATTGTACACATCAGTACTCAAGCACCCAGCACCACGAAGCATGACCAGAAACTGCTCTGCTCTTTCAACATCACCCTTCTGCTCAACAGCATCCAGCACCCCACGAATCAGTCGAGCATCAGGGTTCCACTTCTGCACGCTGGCAACGGCATTCTTGAAGCAATCCAGTGCTTTCTCAATCTCCCCTGTTTTCAAATGAACCCAAGTCAGCAGCTCCCAAGTTGTGTAACAAGGCGGTATCCCCTTTTGCTCCATCCGTTTGTGCATAGCTTTGGCCTCTTCCAGCTGGTTCTTGTTCATATATGCAGCAATGAGCACGTTGGGAACGCCCGGTCGATGGCTTGTGGAGACCGACTCCCACTCATTGTAGACCCTCTCCACTTCTGCGAGCTCGCCAAGTTTGGAGAGAGAAGAGACCATACAGATGTACTCTGCATCGTTCATCTTACGGAAGTTCCATTTCATCTCCTTCCATAGTCGATGGACTGCTTCACTATCTCCAATCCCTGTGTACAGACTGATGAGAGATGGGTAAACCAGTCGGTTTTTGCGTGAAGCCTGCTTCTCCATTTCCTTCAACATGGGTAACGCCTGTTCGTGAAGCTTGTTTTTTATGTAGAGATTGGTCAGGATGCTATAAGTTACCCAGTCAGGATCCAGCTTCGACTTCTTTAGCTCCTTAAAAACTTTTTCTGCTGTTTCTGCATCGTCCTCTCCTGAGCAAGCGGTCAGCCACAAGTTGTATGTGAAAATGTCTGGCTTGGTGTGTTTATTCAAATCCTGAATGACTTCGGGGACCTTCTCCAGTTGCTTGTTTGCAATGTAGATAGAGAGCATGTGGTTGAAAGGAAGTGGGCTCTTCAGGAAATCACATTCCTTCATTTTTTCCATTAAGGCCTCCGCTTTGGAAGGCAGCTTATTCCGGACATAAGAATGGAGAAGAGATGTACATGCTAGCCGGCCTCTCATGTTTTCAGGAAGATCTTCAAAGAACTTCTCAGCACTAGCCAGACCTCGAACTTTAGTTACCAAATCAAGATGGACAGCGTAATCTCCAGCTACGAGCTTGATGTCGGGTTGTTGTCTCATCCATTCGCAAACCTACATACAAGTTCATATTACAAGCCTCAGGTCACCTCATCAATTTGTGCTTCAAGAGCCCAATTCTAAAGAATTAGAGCAAACTTCAGCATGCCAATCGACCTCTAACTACATTGAGCTAAATAAACTTAAAACTACAACAAGTATCAGCAGCTACCAGAAGCTATATGGATAAACCAGCCCAACAGGTGGGAGTTGAGATCCATTTCTAAGCGCCAACCATAGAAGCAACAAACTTTATCACATAGGCATAAGCTCTTAATAAATCCAAACATGGGTTCAAATTTGAAAATTGAGAATCACATTCATCTACAACATATGACACTGTTGAAGTTGCAGATTGACTACCCTAGGCAAGTTCAAACTCAAATTGGAGGCAACGAAAGTTTTAGACGAGAAAACGAAAAAAGTAGGATTGACTAGTTACCTCGAGAGCGTGCTTGTAGCGCTTGAGCGTTCTGAGTTCTCGAACAATCCTATTCAGCTCGTACTTCTGAACTTTGTTGCCTTCTTCTTTCCATTTCCTAATTGCCACGACGGCGCTCCGTTTTGCGTACACCAAGTTAATTAGACTCTTCCTCAGGTTTTCCTTTACGGCACCACCGCTTCCTGATTTAGATCTCCCAGCCGCCGCAACAGCCTTCTCTTTCGGAGGCGGCGGCGTCACCGCAGCTTCCGCCGAGAAGCGGCGCGATGTGGCGGCAACTATTGCTCGAACGGTGGACGCGGAGCGTTGCAGCATTTTTCCGGCGATGGTCCTTGGTGGCCGGTGGCCCTATAGGTTTTAATGGCTGCATCCCGAGAATCATTAATTATTAGTAGAGTATTAAACTCCAAAATCTGGACTGGGCTCTCCGGCCCAATATAGATACTGGGCAGGGCAGACTAGCCTGGGCTATCGGCCCACACTACGCTTTACGGCAGCTGAGCTGCTGAGAAGCCGCAGTCGTAGGCAGCCCGTCCAACAGCGACGTACGAAAGGGAAATTTCTTCAGCCGAGGTCCTGATTCGTTGGAAAAAAGTCTGGAATCTCTCTGGTTCCTCGTCCGCAGCTTCGTCTGACATGGCAGGCGGAAACTCTGCCTCCGGTGGCAGGACCGGCGTTAGGGTCGTGGTCGCCGGAGACCGTTTCACCGGTAAATCGAGCTTGATTGCAGCGGCGGCGACGGAGTCCTACCCTGAAAACGTCACTCACGTTCTACCTCCCACTCATCTCCCCGCCGATTTCTTCCCTGATCGAGTCCCCATCACCATCATCGATACTTCTGCCGCGTAAGCTCTTTGCCCCCCTTGTAGCTTCGCCTTCATGCTGATAATGAAATTATCGGATTATTGACTCCTGAAAGATACCACTTTTCGTAGAAAAAAATTGGCTGTAGTTTCCAACTGAGTCGTTCTACCCTCAACATTGTTCATCTTCTTACTCGCAAGTTTTAATGTGATGATTATGATATTGGCGTTATCGTGCCTGTGCTTGTATAGCTTGGAGAATAGAGGGAAGTTAATTGACGAGCTAAAGAGAGCTGATGTGGTGGTGTTAACTTACTCTTGTGATCAAGCATTGACATTGAATCGTCTAAGTAGCTTTTGGCTCGAGGAGCTTCGTCGATTAGAGGTCTGATGCGATTATTCTTTATGTTTTCTGTTATTGACTCATAATCATGTTCTCTTATTTTTGCTGATAGATAGAACTTGGTTGCTAATTCAGGTGAAAGTGCCAATTATCGTAGTGGGTTGCAAGCTTGATTTGCGAGATGAGAACCAGCCAATTAGCCTGGAACATGTCATGAGACCTGTCATGCATGAGTACAGGGAGATTGAGACCTGCATAGAGTGCTCTTCCGTTACCCTTATGCAAGTAAGGCTGCAAATGTTTGGGTTGACTTCTAAAGCTTCAGTATTTGCTGAAGTTGTGGTCCTTGCACCCTTCGTTGATGCATTATTTATGTTGCTAGTTAGAAGACACACATGTAAACTGTACGCAATGCATCATTATTGTTAGTACAAATTGACGATAGATATATTGTTACGGAAAAGGAAAAAAGTGTGTAAAGACATGATTGTTTGAAGAGGTGTCGTGGAGAATTCAGAAGGAATTGACTACCGAATATGAATTAGTAACTCACTGTACCTGCTTTGCTTAGCCAATGGGGCTTAGCAGCTTGCTAGTCTCAAAATCCTATTACTATTTTCTGTTCGTCAATTTGAGTGGAATGAAATTTATTGGTTCATTCCGCATCATAGTGATAGTTTATATGTCTTTCGATATATAGAATTACTGTTTGAGTAATCTATTAGGACTCAACCATCAACCTGGATATGTTGTAGGTTCCAGATGTATTCTATTATGCACAAAAAGCTGTACTTCACCCAACATCTCCATTGTTTGACCAAGAAAGTCAGTCTTTGCAACCTCGATGTCAGAGGGCACTTAAAAGGATATTTCTCCTTTGTGACCGTGACATGGATGGCGCACTCAATGATTCAGAATTAAACGAATTTCAGGTTTCATTCTCTCTAATTTCATCTTCAATTTTTATTTTTTCCTCACGAATGATATGGAGAAGCCTGACATTTAATTATCTTTGAACAGGTTAAATGTTTCAATGCTCCACTGCAGCCTGCTGAAATAGTGGGTGTGCGAAGAGTTGTACAAGAGAAGAAGAGGAATGGAGTTAACGACCTGGGTCTTACACTCGAAGGCTTCTTATTTCTACATTTTCTTTTCATAGATAAAGGCCGCCATGAAACAACCTGGGCTGTCTTGAGAAGGTTTGGCTATGGTGATAATTTAGAACTCAGAGATGATGGTCTCCCAGTTCCGACTAAGCATGCTGTTGATCAGGTGAGCCCTGTACTACAGAACTGGAATTTTGACAGGTGTGCTTCATTTGTACTGGATTTTATTTCTCTAATGCCAGCTTTCCATTTACATGAATCAATCTTCTGCCTGTTTACCCACTTGTTCCTGCCATTCATTGTTGCATTTTACTGTTTCAGCGACTGAAAGCTTGAAATCATTCTTGCTTAGAAAATATTTTTATCTGAGGAGACTATTTTGACCTTATATTTGCACTTATTCCCTCATGCATTCTGTTTGTTGTGTGATCTGTGATATTGGAGACCTTTTACCTGTGGCCATATTTTGACTTGTATTGCTCTCTTGTTGCAGAGTATTGAGCTAAAAACAGAAGCACTTGACTTTCTACGTGGGACCTTCCGCTTGTTTGATATTGACAATGTAATATATTAACTTTAGTTGCTAGTATCAACTTCTTGAGTTCTGGTTACTGGTTCACCGAAGGTACTGATTTTTCTCTCTTCAAATTGACCAGCATGGAGCCCTGAGGCGAACTGAGCTTGAAGAGCTATTTTCAACTGCTCCTGAAAGGTATCACGTGCTTTGCTTTGCTGCTCTAATTCTCTTGTCATGATCCTTATGTTAAATGCTCACTTTCTACTAAATACTATCTCCTAATTGTTTTTTCTCTTGTCTGATATTGGCCATGATTTTGTCTGAAAACTTCAGTTGTGCACTAACTCGAAGAAATGATTTTACTAACAGCTGAAAACCATATCTGTTCTTATGAATTAATGATCTGGATATTTTGTTTACACAAACAATATCTAACCATTAGTTGAAGATATCATAGAGTGAGCTGATGATAGCAACACCGTATTTCCTTCATTCCTACCTTGTCATGTTCTCTACTTGCATATCAATTACAGCTGAAGAAGACTATCAATTATTCAATCCCGAAAGAGACTTTTTGGGCCTCTCCCAATTCCTAGCTACAGTTTCTTTATGCTTAATGCTGTTCTATGTATTTTTTTTTTATATGTAGTCCTTGGAATGAGGCTCCTTATAAGGGTGCAGCAGAAACAACTTCCCAAGGAAATTTAACTCTCAAGGGATTCTTATCTGAGGTTTGTATATCTAATGTTTCTGGGGTTGTGTTTTCCTTGTCATTGAGATTAACTACTGAATTTGTGGTTTCCAGTGGGCCCTTATGACACTGATAGATCCGAGGCGCAGTTTGGCTAATTTAATATATATTGGATACAATGGGAATCCTGCTTCAATTCTCCGTGTTACTAGACGAAAATCTATTGACCGTAAGAAGCAACGCAGTGAAAGAAGTGTTTTCAACTGTTTGGTCTTTGGTCCAGAGAATGCTGGAAAATCTTCCATGTTGAATGCTTTGCTTGGAAGGTAGTGTGAACATAATGTTCTCTAATTTATTGTCACACAAAACTACCTTTGCATTGGACACAGACGTTTCTGATTGTCGGGGATTCCTTTTCGGGCCTGTAATGATTATGATTCCATGATTTTTCATGATGTGGACAGATCATTTTCAGGAGGTCACAACCCAGCCGGTGAGAGATATGCAGCAAATGTTGTTGATCAGCTTGGGGTGAGTTTTATTGATGTATCTTCATTCTTTTTCTTGTTTTCCAGTTCTTATACCTTTGTCTATGTTGAGAACACTATTCCATATATATATATAGTTATGGAAGAACCGAAATACGACATTTGCTTTCGATATCTGATGTTTGTAAGACGACGATGCTTCTTCTTCTTCATCAAGCTGCACGACTAAGCTGTGCAGTTTTCCTTTTGCCTTTGACCATTCCTTTCAGGGTAACAAGAAGACTCTCATCTTGCGAGAGGTACCTGAAGACGGAGTGAAAATTTTGCTATCAAATAAGGAATGTCTGGCAGCTTGTGATGTTGCAGTGTTTGTTTATGACATGTAAGTTCATCTTATGTGGTGCATTCAGGAACATGTTGACCTGGTTCGTAAGTGTTAGCTGTCTTGCTTCCTTATGGCGTTTGCTTGTTATAGTTCAATGGAAAAGATTGCATGTGCTGCCCTTATCAGTAACAGATCTAGCTTTGGAGATGCATGATGTTGTGTGTCCATACTCTTTCAAGTTTTTGTGATGGGTCTATCCTTGGATTCTTCGTTTTCAAGTTGTATGGCACCACTGACGTGATTGCTAAAGGATCATTTGGTTTTTTCTTGGATATCTTTATTCTTGACATGGGGTAAATATAATATAATTATTATTAATATCTAGAATCTCCATAGTGACAGTAGCCTGGGATATGTTTATGATTTCAGTTCAGATGAATATTCATGGAAAAGAACAAGGGATCTGCTAGTAGAAGTAGCTAGGCAAGGAGAAGAAACTGGTTATGGGGTGCCTTGTCTCCTAGTAGCTGCTAAGGGCGATTTGGTTCCATACCCCATGGCACTTCAGGATTCACTGAAGGTATACTCGCTATTCGTCTATTAGTCTTTCTGCTTAAGATGTATATTAGTAATTTATGTTTCGCATTTATATACACCTTTGTTAATAATTGTGAACTCTACTGTCAGGTTTGTCGCGAGTTGGGAATAGAGGCTCCTGCTGCAGTGAGCATGAAGACCGGAGATCTGAATGACTTATTTGGGAGAATTATTGGTGCAGGTGAATCTCCTCATCTCAACATTCCTGAAACTGAGACTGGGAGGAAACGCAAGAGCTTCCGTCGCCTCGTCAATAACTCCCTACTCTTCGTCTCAGGTGTGGGCTTGAAACCATATTGTAATATTCTATATACAGAATGTAGTGTATGCTAATATTGGTCTTCAAATTGTTTATCTGGATACAGTTGGGGCGGCTTTTGCAGTTGTTGGCATGACAGTGTTTCGTACTTACAATGCGAGAAGGAATTCTAATTAGGGGTTCGCTCAACTGAAGTCAGTTAGCACCAAGCCACAATTGAAGGGGATCTGCCCAATTTTGCAAGCAGTTGAACTTTAAATACCTCAAAGGATTGAAAATCCCCCACGCCCTATGTAAATAATGGTATTGCACCGATTCTTTTTTCGTTCCCACATCCAATTCTTGGATTGAAATGGCCTGTGTTCCTGACTCCATTTTTTATTGTAGTATAGAACCGCTCAGGACACAAAATATCATATGTTGATTACTTTTCAGGAATAGGATATCTGGTGCTATTATACCTTGTTTTGGAAATCCTATTTGGAAGTCTATGTATTGAGGAAAAATGTTTGGGGTACTGAGGAGAAACATCATTTGAAGCTTGGCATTTACTTAGAATGCAGCAAAAAGTTGAGAGTTCATTTGCCTTGATAAGTAGTATTGCTGTAGCTTTTACATACTTGAGTTGGAAGAGGGAAAAGGCATTTGCAGTTGTAAGGGGAAAGCCAACCTTTTGTTTTAGTGTTGAGGAAATTCGATATCCCAGTGGAATGGAGATTTGCTGTGTCTGCCAATAAGATTCATGACAGGTCAATCAAAGGAGACAGGAAGCAAAAGCAGGGGAGGTTTTTTCTTTCTTTTTTCTGGGTGGTCTTGTTCTGTTTCTAGTTTCTGCCCTCTGTGATGAAGCCATCGATGCTGATATGGACTAACATGATCTCAAGTGGTTTGGAGAACCAGCATCAGTCTGCTGCAGTGGCAAAAATTTCAAAGCCGGAGTTGTTGACCTGCCAGGAATGAAGGCAGAGGCTCTATGTAGTGGTGGTGGGGTGAGGGGACGTGAAATCCTGGAGTGCCGGATTCTCACTCACCAGAAAGGGTCAAGACTGGGTTGATTAAAGGTGACAGAACCTAGTAATAGATGAATGGAAAGCTAGTTATTCTATTCAATTTTGTTGAGGCTGCTTTTGATCTCTTGGTCTCATCTTTAGCTGCAGAATCCTGCATGTATATGGACTGTAGTATAGGTATGTCTTTGGCCCTTTGTGCTAGATAGCTAGGCTCTCTTGCTCTGTCGTCTCCACTTTGTAGGAAGTAGGCAAAATCTGGGATTGGTATGGTCGTCAGATTCTCTCAGGTGTTGAGTGGTAGAGGACTTAGGAGGAGAATGACGATGATCCTCACTTGCTCAGTAAGCACCAGCAATGTAACATATTTTGTTGTGTCCGAGTTTGGGGCTTCATATTTTGTTCAGCCTATTGCTATCTTTTGCTAAAGCACAGCTCCAAACCTTTTGACTTTAGGATGCAGCACCATAGGTTAATGTCAATCACCGCTTATATATTTTGCTTTTGTTTCTTTTTTTGCCATATATATTCGAAAATGGAAGAGCCGAGTAATTAATGTACAAAAAGAAGATAAGGAGGATAGTTCGAAGTATTCGAACAAACGAGAGAGCTTTAGTTGTAATGAAATTGATAGATTTTCATATTTATTTCCGAAAAATCATGTATTATTTTTACCGGTCCTATAAAATTAATATGTGCACGGTGACGCAATTAATATGATGTTGGCGTTTGCCTCAGAGACGGAGCTAGCGTGTAAGCAGGGGGGGCCATGGCCCCCGCTAAAATTTAAAAATCTGACTTTGCACCAACAAAACATAATACAAGCTGTGGTCTAGCGGTGTGTAACATATAATTTTAATGGAGTGGTCATAGGTTCGATGGTTGCTATCTGCACCATTTAATTTTGTAAAATATTGATTCCTAACCTCAAATTTTGCATGTTTTACGATTTGGTACCTAATTTTACATTTTGGTACATTTTCGTCCATTGTCTTACAATTTGGTACCTAAGATTTGCATGAATCGTTTAAATTCATGAAATTTTGCTTCTAAATCCTAAGTTATGCATGTGTGATTTGGTACCAAATGTTTTCATTTTAGTACACCTTTTGTCCCAAATTTCGCATACTTTACGATTTGGTACCTAAGTTTTCCAGTTTAGTAGTGTTTTTGACTTTTTGCTCATTGTCTTACTTTGTATCGGACTTTCTCATCCCCAACCTTTCTATACAAGCTCTTCTACTAGATAAAAATAGACTTCTATGTGTCAAAATTTTGGTAATTTGTGTTGAACGATAAATAACATAATAAAATTTACTTCAAAATTTTTATCGGCCCCCCCTTACCTAAATTCCTGGCTCCGTCCCTGGTTTGCTTGCTGCTATTATTTGATGTCCGCCATCCTCCTCCTTTTCCATTAACAAATAGTGTGAACTGCAAAATGAAGCGAAGGGGATAGAACTAGTATACTAATAGTATACTATCGGGATGATAATAGGTCAGGTTGGTCTAAATCCACCTTACGGGAGCATCCATTAAAAAAATTGGTGGAATATCCAGTTGATTTTAAAAGAGTAAATCATACTCAGTGGATATCTATGGGTTTACAAAATTATGTCGTTTTACATTTTGGGTGCAAATCGGATGGAAAACAGGTTGGGTTAACATAATCCAATCCAATCCAACCTAACCTGTTGATTTAAACATGGTAAAACCTGCACCTGATCAAAAATTCACCAATACTGGATTTTTGCCTGCTTTAAACTCCGTTTAGTCTTTTTGGGTACTCGTATCTCTGCTATAGTAGACATGATCAATGCAGTCAAAAGCGCGATTCTACCTAGAAGCGGAAAAGGGGTAAAATCATAAAGCGTAGAATCAAAGCGTAAAAACGTAAGTTTTTGAAGCATACTGAAAAATAACTAAAAAGCTAGGACATATACTATGTAAATTATGAATGCACGGAATTTAGATAAGTTAATAAATACATGCAATTCATGCCTCAAGTAGAGCAACTTGTAGCATCTTAATAATAAGTTTGTAAATATAAATTTTAACAATAAGCCACTTCTTCCTCTATGCTAAAGCATTCGGGAAGAGCCTAGTTGGTGAATTAGATTACTCTATTAAAGTTGAGAATGCATCCAAGTACATGATATGTATCTATTAATCTCAAATGTATCATATTGTTGGTGATTTACTTTTAAAATATACTTTTTATAATTAATTTCATGAAAAGAATACTCATTTAGCGAACTAAAAACGTAAAAACGTAAAGCGTTTTGGTAAACTAGAAGCATAAAAGCGTAAGGTTTTAAGCTTTAAAGCGCAATTTAGTCCGATTTTATACACTTAAGTTTTTATATGGAAACGAAAGCGTTTTGGTGACCTAAAAGCGTAAAATCGTAAGTTTTTAAGTTTTAAAACGCGATTTTGACTGCATTGGACATGATAGATGGATAGATAAATATAAGAATAAGAATATTATGTGGCATATGTGGTCTGAGAGTGAGAGGAAGTGGCCCTGACCTGCCCTGCCCAGCCATTGATTCTTTCATGGATTCTCTTCTCTTCTCTTGTCTCTGCAATAAAGACTTGCATCCCTAACCCTATCAGGTATCAGCATTCCATTACAAACAAGACCCACAGCCACAGCCACAGTCCCACTACCACTTGCTCTAACTAGCTACCTTGTTAATTAGTTGTTTTTGCCCCCACAATAACTAGCTGCTGCTGTATCTTTCCATTGCAGTAAGAATCGTGAAAACTCTCGAGTTTTCTTAACCATGTATACAACTAATTACTAGCAAACAAGTAGATAAATAAAACAAACAAACCTAGAAATGGTTAAGAAGCAGGCAATCCAGTGCCCTGAACAACAATACAAACATGTGCTTGCAGAGTGGCAATTCCCGCTAGCTGCAACAAGGTAAAGGAACAAGGAAGTGTCCAACCGATCATGTGAATGTTCCTTCTAATTCTGACAACCCAGAGAGAGAGAGAGAGAGAGAGAGAGAGAGAGGGTGGAGGGTGATCCCCATTATTCCTTCGGCAATTGGGGAAAACGAGTGGAAGGCCTAACTCCACGATCGGGGGCTGCTCTCCTCTGCCTCTTTTCTCTTTCTCTTTGTAAGTAAGGCAAGTTTGGCCAACCACATCCAACCCATAGCTGCCTTCTTCTCCCAAAAAACAACCTCCTTTTCCACCACCCAACATGGTGGCCTGCCCATGCATCTCATCTCATCTCCCTCCTTAATCCATCCACTTCTTCTCCCAAATATCTAAGCCTTCCCCATCCTTTTTACTAGCACGATGCCCGCATGTGGGCATGATACCTTATGATCCAATCAAAATTATTTTTTTTCAACGAAATAGTTGGGCGCAGTTGCATCATGAATTATTAACTTTTTTAATGATATTTTAGATTCCGAAAGAAAAAGAATGTGGGTCGGAGAAAAAAAAAATCATTCACATAGTACTAGAGCTCCCATACCCACAAGTCAAACAATACATACCCTCGCCGGCTCCCCTTTATGACTTGATCTATCGCCGAGGCCGAATATCGTGTCATTGCTCATGCCACTACTGAGGATACTTTAATTTGTTTCAAGTGTTAGAAGACCTGTGAGCTGAAACGTAAAGAACAATAGGTTTACGTGGTTTCCAGTATTGCAGAGAGCAATACCGACTAGTCCACGGGGTAACGGAGTCTCTTATTCAGCTTAATGATCAACGATGGAGTACAAGGGGAATATATACAACCTAAACCCTAATCCATGCTCTCAACAGGCTACGTATGCATGGAATAATGGGCTAGGGAACCGAGCTTATGTACATAACTGGGCCGAGCCCTATATACACTAACAGCCTCCCCCAAATTGATGCCGATCACGAAGCATCAATTTGCCCGAAAGATACCAATGACGACTGGTGGGAAGAGACTTCGTGAGGAGGTCAGCAATCTGCTCCTCTGACGCCACGTAGTGCACCCGTAAAACACCATCACGAACCAAATCCCGGACATAATGAACATGAAGCTCAATATGTTTGGTTCGCTCATGCATGACAGGATTTACCGCAATCTGGATAGCACTGGTGTTATCTACGAACAAATCCACAGGGGAAGAGCACGACACACCAAAATCAGTCAAGAGACGTTGAAGCCAGATCACCTCGGAAGCCACCTCGGACATAGCCCGGTACTCAGCCTCAGTAGAGGACTTAGAAACCCGATTCTGCTTCTTACAGCGCCAGGAGATGAACGAAGAGCCAAAACGGACACACCAGCCAGAGGTCGAACGACGAGTGTCAATACACCCAGCAAAATCCGAGTCGGAGAAGGCCTGAAGATCAAGCGGCCCCTGGGAGGGGAAGAACAAGCCAACATCGAGAGTGCCCTGTAGATAGCGGAGGATCCGATGAACTGCAGCCAAGTGATCCTGACACGGAGCAGCCATAAACTGACTGACGATCTGAACGGCATAAGAGATATCCGGGCGGGTGGCAGCCAAGTAAATTAAGCTACCAACAACACTCCGATAAGCTGACCCATCAACCAATGGAGAACCAGAGTCCCGATGGAGCTTAAGATTGAGCTCCATGGGTGTACGAACAGGACGACAGGAATCAAACTGGTGATCGGAGAGGAGGTCTTTGATGTACTTAGTCTGATGCAGAAGAATTCCCTGGGTAGAACGTGTAACCTCCAATCCCAAAAAGTACTGTAAATTCCCCAAATCCTTCAAATTAAAAGCTGCCTGCATACCCTGCTTCAGAGACTCAATACCTGCGGCATCATCCCCAGTAACCACCATGTCATCAACATAAAGCAAAAGAACGACAATGCCTGTGGACGAAGTCTTCGTGAATAGGGACGGGTCATTAAGACTCTGACGAAGCCCCAAAGCAAGAATGGTCGTCTGAAACTTCTCAAACCAGGCACGAGGTGCCTGCTTGAGTCCATAGAGCGAGCGGTGAAGGAGACAAACCTGACCCGGTAAAGCATACTTATACCCGGGAGGAGGTTCCATATAGACAACCTCCTTCAAATCCCCGTGAAGAAAAGCATTCTTCACGTCAAACTGATAGAGAGGCCAATCACGAGCAGCTGCAACAGCTAACAGAGTCCGAACAGTAGGCATCTTCGCAACCGGGGCAAAAGTCTCGTCGTAGTCCACACCGTGTTCCTGAGTAAAGCCCTGAGCCACGACCCGGGCTTTATGTCGTTCGATCGAGCCATCAGGGAGAACCTTGATGTTGTACACCCACTTACTGCCAACTATAGGAACTGGTGGAGGTGGACGGTCAACAACAGTCCACGTACCATTTGCATGTAATGCATCTATCTCCACGTCCATAGCATTATCCTAGACGGGATTTCCATGTGCTTGCTTATAACGGGTAGGTAT